TTCAAAAGACCGCTAGAGACAACTTCACCCCTAAGTTCAGTTATTGATGTGCCTAAAATAAACTAAAAAGCTTTCTGCAACAACTATCATCTTTAAGTAGCCTTTTAATTACATACTTCGGCGTCAACTCTCTGCGTAATTAACTTTTTTGAAGATTACGTCAAGACTGTGACCAGTGTTTTGACTACCCTGAGAATTAGGAATAAACCTAGTAGTCATTCTAGTGGATTCTAGATGATTGCTTAGGAAATCCTGCTTGACAGTCAGCTTGCTGTTCCGTATTGGTGGATTCCGTACGAGCGGTAACGTTGGGCAGGTAAAATTGGTCCAAGTGTGATTAAACTCACGGTGATAGGCGTGGCATTTGTAACTCAACTGGTAGAGCATTGGCTTCGCGTAGGAGCCCTCCTTATTATGCGGGTTCTAATCTCGCCAAATGTCGCGAGTTTTTCCATAATTGGGTCAACTGAATTAAGCAAATCTGCCAAACCTCCTAAATAAATAAACAAATAATAAACCTTCTGCTGAAAATGAAAGAACTCACTTTTCGGTGAATATTGGAGCAGTTTTCAGTACAATTCTCTACTTTTAGGTCCCGTTCTATGATTCCAAAAGCACAACGGAGTGGCAGAATATATACTAAAATTTTGCGAAAACTGAGAATATTCTGCCCGTTCCGTTTAAGGTTTCCCTATTAGTTCATATTGGAATCTAGATGGAAGAGGTGTGTGGCATATAGCTTGACAGAGAAGCGTGACGACATGTCTCGGGTGTTCGAATATATGCTTGTTAACGGTCGTTATTTTCGGTGTGATAAACCAAAGTACAGCCTTATAAGTTATTTACTTAATTCCATCGCACAAAACCTAGCAGGTTTGCAAAACGAAATTTTTTAAACTGAATCTGCGTTCGTTTTCCCGACAATAATACGTTATTTCGTACTTTTACTTACTTAAAGTTCATGAACGCAAAACAAAGTGTTCTGTTCTCTGACTAGATATAGGAAAAAATGTGTTTCGTCTTTATTAATATTCTTTTGTAGTACGCAGTGTTTACTAACCTAGGAAATTCCTTTGATATCAAGAAACATTGGATTTGGCCCAATCGGGTCCACTTTTTTCTTCAATACGCTCATTTACACTGAACTGTTTTTCAGTAAACAGCATTTGGTGCCTCAAGTCTACACAATTAATTGACTAAACAACCTCAACTATGTTTTGAAGTACGCATTCAAATCTCGATTATGGAATTTCATGAGGTAACTAATCGCTGAACGCCTCGAGTTTTTTCACAATTGGGTCAACTCAAATCTACTATATAATTTTACACTGGCAGCATGTTGGTGTTGGTTCGACCAGCACAAGCGATGATGTCCACCATTTGCCTGAAAGCAGGTGACTGTGGTCAGGTATAGTGAAAGTAGACACGCCGCCATCCACCCCACTCTAAACCCTCTTTTCCGCTTCAAACGGTGACAAGATAAAGTCGATATGACCGAGCAGGAATCGGACGTAAGCCGCTTTCTCCAGATGGCAGCATAGGTGCTAGTTAAACGCCCAGACGAGCTGGAATTTCTAAACCGGTTTATCAACCAGAAAGCAGACTGGGAAAGCTGGGTAACCCACTGATGAGCCATGCTCCTTGCAGCTGTCAATTAGCGGCAGCCAGTAACTGTGCTGCTGGCATGGTAAACCAAAACAATGTATTTCTGTCAACCGGATGACGGTGCTTTCGATTCGAAACTTGAGCGAAAGTAATTTTGTGTATCGCCTTATCGAAAATATACCACAAACAGCTGGTAAAGCGACAGTAGCAAGCAGTAGAAATGCAAAGCATTGAGCTCAAATGATAAAAAAAGTTCGTTAATTCCGTTCTCCTGTTAAGATGCTGGGCAACTGTTCCATGATGTTTGTGCATTTGGAGTCACAAACGTGATCTAATTGTGGGACTGCATAATGCTTTGGTGATTTGCCTATGGAAATCTCGATTATTGAATTGATGTTGCTACTACTTATAAAGTGTGCCTGCTGGTCATCTGGTGGGTTCTAGATCGACTGCTCAGGAAATCCTGCTTGCGCAGTCCGCTTTGAGCGTCTTTTCGACTTCTCTTATTCCATTTTAGCCCGAATGACCTGATGCCTTTAGCTGCGCGCAGTTGACCAGATGAATCTTCTGCCGGCTGTTTTATGCTATATCGCTGTTTGCCTCGGCCTCTTCATCTTGTATATCTGTCGGCATTCCCTTCTCTGTGGACCTGTGTGGTGCCTGCTTGAGCAATGCTTTCAGCGTCTCCGTTTATTTGTCCCCTTGCGCCTCCGAATCCTCTGTGGTGGCGTGCTTCGGTGGTGCTTCTATGAAAAGTACGTTAAATATTATATTTTTACTGAATTCTTTTAAGTAGGTACTTATGTTGCTTTGTATTTTTATATTTGCCGCATTCTTTTCCTCCTGCAGACACTGCCTCTTCCAGATCGTCTACTTGCTGCTTGTTTTCATCGCACATGTAGTGCTCGTGCGTGATGTTCTGCCTCTCCTCTACACTTACGCCTGGATGGAAAACCACATCTTGGTCGGATTAATGTGCCTTTTCGCTAACATTTTAATGTACCTCGCCGTTTGCCTCAAAGACCCCGGTATGTTCATCAGGGGTTTTCTATGTATGCGTTATTTCCATTCATCACTGTCGCCTTTTTGCACATGTATAACCCCTACATGATCATTATTGCTCATCATTTGCTTATCAATTACCGTCACTTCCTCGAATCTGCGAGTATATCATGACCTGCTGTCGGTCATGTTTTGTGTACAAATTTCTCTTCGGTTCCGGAGATGGGTGACATCCGACATAAAACAACTGCCCATGGATTCTCTTAACGTGGAATAGCGTCCTTCCTCAACTACTTAAGTCACCTTCCGTATCCTTGACATAATCCAATTCCCGTCCGGAGGAGCTTATAGAGGTGAAGAAACCCTGATGTGTCAAGGACAGACGTATAGACAAGGCTGGCTCCAAATGCTTAACTCGGTATGCGCTGTTTGTGCCAGTACATCCAGAAGATTTGGGTGGACAGTTCTTTTTTATTACTATCGTTGGGTTTCGTTTCGTGTACCTTTTGCTAATTCTATTTCACGCAAGCTACACTGTATATCAGTGGGATAATATCTTAAGACAGACTATGCGAGATAAGAAACTTGCAGTTTTAAACGTTTGTTGTCAGACGACTTTGAACCGCCTACTGTTAGAATTCACACGGACTGTTTTGTTGAAGTTATGAGGAAAACATTGTAACATGCGTATGTTTGTAATAGTTTGATCATTACTTGCATACCGGCGTAAACGCGTTTGCGACGCGTTCCCAACGTAATGTCACAATGAAATTGGAGACTTTTGTCAATTTCTTTTTAATATAGCTTAAGATGAACAATTCAATTGGACTGGAAATGAAAGAACTTACTTTTCTCTTTATAATGGAT